TTCTTCCAATCAACCAGTGTTGCCAATATTTTACTGCTTCTTTGATTGCCAGACATTCTAGATATTTTGCCTTTTTCCTTTTTTGAGCTTCAAATTCTTTGAGATATATGCTACTGGTTTATCTTGTCCATCTATTTGTACTTGCTTTAATGAGCCCCAATTCCTTCTAGCGACGCATCTGTGTACATTTTTGACATTGATAGATCTTTATCGAATATTTCTAAAACTGGTTGAGAACATAATAAATTCTTTATTTTCGTAACAGACTTCTCACATTCTTCTGACAATATGAATTTGACTTCTTTTCTCAATAGTCTATGTAATGTATCTAATATTACTGAGCTATTTGGTATATACTCATGGTAAAAGTTGATCTTTCCCAATAATTGTCTGATATGTTTTTGCGTTTTGGTAGTTGGAAAATTCTGAATTGAGATTAGATTATCTTTGATTGGTTTTTCTGTGTGGTTTTCTATAATGTGCCCTGAGTATTTTACTGAGTTGGAAGCGAATGAGCATTTTTTTGAAATTTAATCTAAATCCTTCTTGTATGATTGCTTCTAATACCTGCTCTATGTTTGATGTGATCTTCAAACATTGGTGAATCAATCAATATATCGTCAATATAATTTTCTGTAAATTCTGTTAATTTATATATCTTTAATATGCTACTCAGAATCCTTTGGAATATTGCTGGAGAAGTTTTCAGACCAAATGGTAAACACGTCCATTGATAGTGTCCTTCTTGCGTTACGGAACCAGATTTTGTTTTGTCCTCGATGCGGAGTGGAATTGACCAAAATGCAGAGTTGGAATCCAGAGCTGTAAAATATTTGCAGTTTCTAGTTTTGATTATCAGGTCATCTATAAGGGAAAATGGTTGAGCTTGTGGTACAATAACCTTGTTGAGGTCTCTAAAGTCAATGCAGAGACGATTTTTCTTTCCTTCTTCCCTTTTATACGCCAATGTCACTGGTGCTGCAAAGGGGCTGTAAGATTTTTCAATCAAATTGTTTTCAAATAACTTTGACACTTGAGTTTCTATTTCCTTTTTATCTTCTATTGAGCATCTGTGTGGTCTTTTACTACAATATTTGTTTACTACCAAGACGATTCTTGCTTCATAATTGTTTACTGTACCAATATCATATTTATATTTTTTAAATACAGTCTTATATTTTTCAATTAATTTTTCTATCTTCATTTTCTTATTATTAGTGAGATGTTCCAGCTTGATCTGAAATTCATATTTTTATATGTGTAAATTAAAATTTACTAAACACTGGTTAATTTTATTATCTTCATGATCCATTATTTTCTTTTGTGATATTTGTAAATTCTCATCTTGAATTAATTTAAATTTTTTGATCATGGCATATCCTTTGAGAAAGTCTTCAAAACCGTCTGTTTCTAAAA